GTCCCCCCCCCCCCCACTCGTATTTGCGCGCGCCCCACCTAAAATCCAGTTACATAACCCTGGACGTCGCGGAAGAGGAGCAGGGGGGCGGGCGTCTTGTCCGGGTGGTGTTCAACGGCAGGGAGGCGGTGTTGCCCGGGGCCAAGGGGCCGTGGGTGCCTCTGCTAGAGCTCCAAGAAAGGCGAGTCGAGCGCGTTGACTCAGGCGTTCAAGTTGGTTGTCGTTACATCTTATAAGTGCTACGTAGTGGGAGGACCTTGTATGGTGCGGTAGAAGTACCATTTAGATGTTGTTATTTCCGTGTTGTCGCGGGTGTCAACTTCCTGAGGGACTACACAACGTACGGTTACTTGTGATGTTGTGATGGTCTGCTGCCTTCGGGGGATTTCACCTCAAGGGGGCGATACTTTCGGGGGCTTTCGGGGCCATGGGTACACGTATGGATCCCCCCAACATGAAACCGGACTGCGTTACAAGCGGCCAGATTTGCATTAATGGCAAAGTTGATTTGATGTGCCAGCAGAGGCCCGAAGGATGTTAGAACGTATCTCTTGCTACGATGTACACTTATCCACCCCCACGCGCGCGTTTGCTGCTGCCGTCGCTCTCAAACAAAAAACACAGGCTGGTAGATGTCATGCCCACTGCAGGGGATGCCATAGACAGCGACTTGGATGACGCTGCCACTGGGTCTTCGGAGATCTCGGCGGCTGTCAGCGGTAGCGGGAAGACCAAATGAACGGGTTGTCCGGCATTCCATTAACTACACCATACCCGTGACGGGGGCGTCAGTTTTTACCCACTTCAATGGTACGGCATGGGATGGGATGGAGATGGTAACTTAAAGCCAACCCGTTTTAATATGGAACAGACCAAAATCGTCGAGAGCTGTGCGTCACGCAGCACTTCTTAGACCGAAAATATTCGGAGTTTTGTAAGGGGCGATGGTCAACAGCACGGATCGTGGCGTGTGCGTACGCGCGCGGTGTGTGTGTGTGTGTGTGCTTTGTGCGTTTGCAAACTCAAATACTTGAGTTTGGTCAAGAGAGCTTGGGGTTTTGCTGGAAAATCCGCGAGAGAGGCCGGGTTGGTAGGGTTCAGTTAGTAGGGATACAAATATAACGCGATTTTGACGCCTCTGGTGCTTTGAGCGAGACGGAGCGTGCCTGTTTGTACCTATTGTGTGCAGCGAGGGAGAGAGTGTTCATTAGGCTGAACTCGTTTTCCGTATGTAATTCGGAGTATGTACAAGTCTTCGGTGCGAACAGGGTGTACCGTTCTAACGGGAAAAGTTGAACTCGGTCGCGGAAGGGTGAGTGGGGGCACCGAAAAATGGGCAGGGTGGAATTTGGATGGATTAATGTTTGATGGAAGGCACATGTGCAGGGTGCTCCGCAGGCTCAATGAAGTACCTGCTGCTCTAGGTAAGCACAAAGGTTGTGTGGGAGTTGGTGAAAGAAGTTTTGCTGTGTTCTTTCTTTGTGTGATAGCAAGGTGATAAGTCGATTATGGTTAATGATGCAGGAAGGAATGAAAGAATCAAACTTGACCCAGGTGCGGCAAATGGTTTATATTATGGCGGGGACCTAATGGGCAGCACTGTACTTCGGTGCGTCCATTTGCTCATGCGCAGTGTGCGCGACCTCAACGCAAAGCTCCGCGACGCAGCTTGACATATCAACAAGTGATAGCATGCCATTCGACCCAAATGATGGCGCACCACAATTCCGAGCGACGTTGTCCTCGTTTTTATGTGTTTTTTTGTGGGTGCGATGTTCTGCAACCAACTCGGGAGGCCGGGTACTTCGCTTTGCACAACAATGGGACGCCTTCCTTCTTATGCGTCCGCCGGTGCCTCCCCCGGTCCTACTCCGTACCGGCAATGCGTTTTCAACGCAGAAGATGAATTGTGCGTCGCTTACAACGGAGCTCTCCGTTGTCCAGTCAAAAACTCTCCGGTCTACGTCAGTCAAGCCCTCGTCTGTGGTGGGGGGATGGTTTGGTGTGGGCTCGAATCGCATCCTGAGAGAAAGAAAAAACTACAGTGTAGCGTCTCTAGACTGACTATTGTTGCAAGGCCTACACCCCGCGCCCCCTTCTTAGCCCTCGGAGTTCTGTTTTTTTTCACGCGACTACATGATAGACGAATAACTGACGCCGTAGCTTCCGGCGGGGCGCGGAAAGTCTGCGGACCCGCGACGCTAGAACAAGTGCAACTCCGTCTACACATCCTTTATCAAGGTATGCGCCAGTGAGTGTACACGGCCTCCCATGAAAAATGAATCCTTGCTTGTTGGCTCGCACGAACGACTCCCTCAAGTCACGACATGGCACACGCCGAGTAACACAACCGAAAGGCTTGAATGGCATACACGTGCAAGGTTGTTGAGTGCTGATCCACTACCACCCCCCCCCGCCCCCCACGGTGTTTGCCATCGGGGTTGGGTTTTCGTCGCTTGGCAACGACGTTGTACAACAAGCCGCCCCCCCCGGTGTTTGCCATCGGGGTTGGGTTTTCGTCGCTTGGCAACGACGTTTTAAAACAAGCCATTTCACTTCGTGAGCTTGGCAATCAGGTTACCGTTTTTTTTTACCCTGTTTTTTTGGCGGTAACCATGATGATGGATGGTCGAGTGGATCATGTTGTGCGGGGTGGAGAAGCCTCACTCCGCGCAAGGGGGATGATCGCACCACGTTGTGTTAAATTGGTCAAGCACCCTCGAGACAGTTACACAGCAGTGCTTTCAACTGTCTCAGGAAGTGAAAGCACCAGAAAATAAATTAGTCTCAAGGGCGCCTTACTCGCAAGAGTGTCTAACTCCGCATCTCGTCGAGTTTACATCGGTATGAAAAAAAATAACCGGTTCTAGGTCCATTTCCGGCAGAAGAATCCATTTCCGGCACGGACAAAAAAAAATACCATACANGTTACACAGCAGTGCTTTCAACTGTCTCAGGAAGTGAAAGCACCAGAAAATAAATTAGTCTCAAGGGCGCCTTACTCGCAAGAGTGTCTAACTCCGCATCTCGTCGAGTTTACATCGGTATGAAAAAAAATAACCGGTTCTAGGTCCATTTCCGGCAGAAGAATCCATTTCCGGCACGGACAAAAAAAAATACCATACATATTTTTCGCGCCACTTTTGGACGAAAATAAATGCGGCGGGATTCAATTCACAGGGAAGATCAACTCGGAGCGACTCGTCCACCCCGCCAATCGACTCCGCTTGGTCGAATTACCCATAAAGGAACTCACTGCAGGGTCTCCCGACCCCACCTCGACGAGATACTGCTCCTTCCCTTCCCGTCGCCTGGACGGTGGCGGCTGCTGCCACCATGCTGAGGCGCGATATCAAAATTGCGGGAGAAACGAGGGTCATCAAGCACAGATGGCGCACGCACACCAGGGGCTATCAGCTGACCTCCACGCTGCTGAAGAAGGGCACTGAGACTGCGGCTACCAAGGCAATAGGCTCTGTGGTGGATGACCTCGAGGGCGTTGTACATATGGCCCGAGAGCATGTTGATGACCTCCGAGAACGGGCTACTAAACGTCGCAAGAAGAAACCGGAAGGAGCCGCCACCAGATCTGCTGCCGCTGCTGCGGGCACAGGGCCCATAGGCAGGGCCAAAAAAGTGAAAAACGACGCAATTTTATTGGTCAACAGCACATCCCGAGATGGAAAACGACCCCGAGACCATGAAAAACGACGACCTGTGATTGGGCCAAAGGATCCGAATTGGGCCGCTGCCGCCGAGACACATGAAAACACATGATGACAACACCCAACAAAGACCACAACGGAGAGCACAACAGCCCTCCCACAGCAACCGTGGAGCCAGCGCTCCCCATGGGGCGAAATCCAGGATCAAAACCCAAGGATGGCGCACAAAAAGCGGGTCGGAAAACAAATGCGGAGAGGTGAGGATAGCTGCGCAGCAGAAGAACCAGGCGGCCGCGTTCGCAAGGATGCTCTCCCGGCACCCGCAAGCCCAGCCATAATCAAAGCGGCCACGGGTGAGTAAAGACCAAAGTGGGGAGGGAAGCAGTGCGGGTGCTAGAAGCGCGTCATCCGCCGGCGATGTCGACGTTAGTGGGGGTTCTGGTGATTCATCAAGCACGGTGGCACCAACCATAGGCGAGTCCACTCCACCTCCTGCCGTTACACAACAGCAGTCGCCTCCTCGCTTGGACGATGAGGGTGAACACTCTCGAGTAGATGGAGAAGAAGCTCGGGCACCACCATTCTTAACCGTAGGAGAAGGATCCGCAACAGCACCAACAGAGCT